CACAATCTTCCTGCTCTCACTGCAACACCACCTTTCTCTCACTGCCACACGATTATTCTACTCTCACTGCTACACCATCTCCCTTCTGTCACTTCAAGTTGCTCATACTGATACACAATCTTCCTACTTGCACTGCCTCACCACCTCCCTGCTCTCTCTGCCACAAAAATTCCCTGCTCTCATTGCCACAATCTTCTAGCTCCCACTGCCATGCCATCTCTTCAATGCCACAATTTCTGTCCTGTCACTGCCTTACCAACACCATTCTTTCACTGCCAAACCAACTTCCTGCTCTCACTGCTCTGTTTTCTCTGCCACACCATATTTCTGCATTCAACGCTACTCCATCTCCCTGCTCTCACTGCAACATCTTCCAGCTCTCACTGCCACACCATCTCCATGATCTATCTGCCTCACCATTTCTCTGTTCTACAAGTTTTTCTGCTCTCACTGCCTCACCATCTACTTGCACTCACTGTCACACAGTCTCCCCGCTCTAACTGCCTAATTATATTCTCTGCACTCGTGGCCAAACAATCTTCTTGCTCTCATTGCAAGACTATCATCTTCCTTCTCTCAGTGCCACACAATCTGCCTGCTGTTACTGCCTCACAATCTCCCTCCACTTACTGCATTGCAATCTCTTAGTTGTTACTGCCATACCAACTAAATTTTCTTATTACCTCACAAACTTGCTGCTCTGACAGCTTCTCCATCTCTTTGTTCTGATTGCCACACAAACTAATGGCATTCACTGCCTCACTATCTCCCTGTCTCACTGCCAAAGCATCTCCCTGGTCTCACTGCCAAAGCATCTCCCTGGTCTCACTACAAAACCATCTCCCTTGTCTCACTGCCAAACTATCTCCCTGGTCTCACTGCCACAGCCACACTATCTCTCTACTCTCACTGCCACGTGAACTCTCTCCTCTAACTGCCACACGAACTCACCACTGTGATTGACAAACAGTCTTGCTGATCTCTCTGCCACACCTCTTTAAAGTTTAAGTGCCACACCATCCTAATGCTCTCATTGCCACACCACCTTTTTGCTCTCACTGCCTTGCCATCTTCCCACTCACATGGCCACACCATCTCCCCGTTCTCATTGCTAC